CTGTATGGGTGACTAGTCTTTTCCATGCCTCTCCTGAAAATTCATCCCTTTCCTCAAGACAAGTCCCCTTCACTTCTGTGTCCGATATAACACATCTTACTGAGTTCTTCACTTCAGTCAATTTGGAGAAGGGAAGGAATTTTCCCCTGGGTCAGATTGGCAGAGACCCTGGGTTTTTTTCACCTTCCTCTGCAGCATGGGGCACGGGTCACTTGCAGGTTTAAACTAGTGTAAATGGTGGATTCTCTGTAATTTTGAAGTCTTGAAATCATGATTTGAGGACTTCAGTAACACACCCAGAGGCTAGGGGGGTCTATTACAGGATTGGGTGGGTGAGATTCTGTGGCCTACAATGTGCAGGAGATGAGACTATATGATCATAATGATCCCTTCTGACCTTAAAGTCTATGAGTTTCAACAGAATTTTAGCATATATCATCAGAAAAGAAGAATTTAAGCTAGTCATTTTATCCTTGATTAAAAGATTCTATATAATTTAAGATGGATAAAACCGTCTATCTAAATTTAATAGTGTTCTGTAGAAATTATTCATAGATCCTATAGAATTAAATTGAAAATGAAAGCCTTGCTTCAGATTTTTAATCATTCTGTAACAGAAATATATTCTCTTACAAATCTATAGAATATTAAAACATTACATTCAGTGAAGTTTTAGTTATCTATTAAATTCTTTAGGACATTTTCATAAAGGTGGGCTTAATTATGTAGTCCTTACGCAGGCAAAACTGCCATTGACTTCAGTGGCAGTTTTTCCCCAAGTAAGGAGTTCAGAATTGGGTCCTATGTTGGGTGTAGCAAGACAAACTCACACTTTTTTCTGTAAAGTAACACAACCTGTTGTTAACAATCAATACTCATTGCATTACTATACCTAGTGTACTTTTTGTCAACTGTACGCCTCTTTTTAAAGGAGATGTATTCCTCAGACAATTTTAAAAATACAGGTTTCAGAGTAGCAGCCGTATTAGTCTGTATCAGCAAAAAGAACAGGAGTACTTGTGGCACCTTAGAGACTAACAAATTTATTTGAGTTCAAATAAATTTGTTAGTTTCTAAGGTGCCACAAGTACTCCTGTTCTTTTTAAAAAAATATAGTTCACTGAGTAAAATTATTTCCCATTGTAACTCAAATTACTTTAGTGGAGTTACAGCAGGGCTGAATTTGATCCACTGTACTTACTTTGTGCACTTCGATGTATTAGAAAAACCCAAAATACTACAAATACTGTATGTTCCCAGTATGATGTCAATGTGTCTAGATATAATGTGACACACCAGTGTAATTTTCCAAGTATCTGAGTAGTTTCCAAGCGAAATAGATCCTCCCCTTGTATTCTTGTCAAGGAACAGATATTTGCTTGTATTGATCTTTCACTCTCCTTTTTGAAGGATAAGATACATTTTCCCATTTCAAAAGATAAATATAAGAATTGAGTTCTTTCCTCTCATGTAATCTGCTTCTCTTGGGATGGGAAGGCTGTCAGAAGGGAAAGATGGAAGACACATCAATCAAATGGAGACAAATTCATTTTTATTGTTTTCTTGTTTCTTTGTCCCTCATCATCTCTGTTCTGTACAGCCATAATGAATTATAACCTCTAGTTCTAGAAACATCACACATTCTTACCTCCTGTTTTATCCTACTCTTGTTGGCTGTATTGCATCTAGAAGGTTAAGGGATTAGTTGATCACAGTATGTATTTGTTACATGAGGAACAGAACTTAGATGGTAGAGGACTCTTCAATCTAGCACACAAAGGTATAACAAGATCCAGTGGAATTTGATGCTAGATAAATTCAGATTAGAAATAGGGAGCAAGTTTTTAATGATGAAGATAATTAATCATTAAAACAATTTACCAAAGGTTGTGATGGATTCTCCCTTAAAGGAAATCTTTAAATCAAGAGTGGATGTTTTTTTCTAAAAGATATGCTGTAGTTCAAACTGGAATTAATTCAAAGTGCTGTGACCTGTGTAGTGCAACATGTCAGATTAGATGATCACAATGGTCCCTTCTGGCCTTGTACTCTATGAAATTGAATTGTAAACTCTTTGAGGCAGGGATCATATCATATATTTTTAATACTCACCACAAAGCTCCTAACACATATAAATAATACTTACTGACTTCCAATTCAGTAATAGCTTAATTCTTCCCTTATTTTGTTTTCTCCGAAGGGGGTTTTGGTGTTTCTGTTGGAGGCTGAATGTTGCTGTCTCTATGGCCTTGTTGACATTAGAGAAATTTACTGTGCAAAAAACTACATTCCCCCAAGCACGCTCTTAACATACTGCTTGTGCACACACAAAAATGTCCCAAACATTTTACATGCAATCTAAGTACTGTTTGAATTATACTTGTTTCCAACAGGAGTAGCACCAGTATAATCTGAACTGTTTTGCCAAGAATAATTCTAATGCCAGTGTGGATACAGATTAACTGAAACAGTTAAATATATCTTTCCACTATTGTCCCATGATGCAGCTGTGGCCTTTTTTGAAATCTCCCATAGTACACTGCTTGTAGTAGCTATGCAAGGAACAGCAGGATAGGTACCCCTCAGGTATTACAAATGAAGCAGTTTAGAACAGCGCCAGTGTTGCCATTCGGCAAATCTCTTGCACGTTTTCTTAGCATGCTTCAGCACAGCTAGTGTGCATGCCCTGAACCATTTACATAGAATACAGCCAGCTCAAGTAGAAACTGTTCCATTTTCTATTCAAGTCCATATTTCCCTGCTTTGATTCCATCCTTTGTGTTGAGGAAGATTGGACATAATTCCTGTTGGAGCCCATCTGCAATGATTAATTACTCCTTCTTGGCCACACTGCTAAACACCACAGATCACTTCTCCTTCCACACTGCCTCCACAACACTTATAGACTCA